TGCACCTCACATTAAACGAAACATCATTTCTATTTCTCAATTTTACAAACAAAATAATACCTCAATTGAATTATTTCTTAACTTTTTTCTTGTCAAGGATTTGAGCACAAAGGCATCCTTAGTCCAAGGCCAGAATAAAGACAACATTTATGAGTGGTCGTCAGCTTCACAAATCACCCAGCCCACTGCTCACTCCTCAGTTATAGCTCCAGTTGATGTATGGCATCAACGTTTTGGTCACACCTCGTCCCTTATCTAGTAAAAATTACTTTCTCGTTACTTTCTTTCTACATTTAATACTAGTAGTACTATAACTAATTATGATGCTTGTCATAGCAATAAAAGTCATAAACTATCTTTTGGAACATCCTCCATATCTTGCTCTAAATCGTTTGAAATTATTTATACCGATGTTTGAGGCCCGCCTCAACCCCTTCTTTTGACAAGTTCATATTGTATATCATTTTTGTCGACTATTTCACTAAGTACACATGGTTATATCCTCTCCACCATAAATCTGAAGTTTCAATAATCTTTACCAACTTTAGAAAGTTGGTTGAGAATTTCTTTCAGTCTTCCATTAAAACAGTTTACTTTGATGGCGGAGGCGAATATCAAGCCCTCACATCTTGCCTCATAACTTATGGTATACAACACTTCAAGTCACCCCTCCATACTTCATAATTAGTTAGTTCTGTCGAACGCAAGCATCAACATATAATTAAAACTGGTCTCACACTTCTACATTAGACATCCATGCTATCAACTTTTTGGTCAGCAATCTTTCAAATTGTAGTCTATCTCATTAATCGTATGCTCACTCCAGTCCTTCCATACTAGTCATCATTTGAAAAACTATTCCATAAACTTTTAAACCTTCAAAAACTCAAAATCTTTGGTTATCTATGTTATCTATGGCTACGTCCTTATGTCTTACATATGCTAACACCACGATCTAAGCCTTACATTTTTATAAGATACTCTCTTGAACATAACGCTTTCCATTGCTATGAACTCCAAACTCAAAAAGTCTTTATATCACGTCATGATATTTTTGTGAAGTCTTCTTTTCCTTTTTAAAATCATGAGCATCCTACCATGCAAGCTACTCCGACAAACATACATCACCAGAATATCTCTTTGATCTCATCACCCGAACCTCCCACATCATCGTCCAGTCCTTATCCTTAGGATCAATACACTCATCCAGTTCAACAGCTTCTCACTCCCTTCATTATTCTTCCACTCCCTACTTCATATGTTTCCCCAATTGATGAAGCAATACCCTCGGCAACATCGCCATTGGTTTCATCTTCTCCCAGACCTCGTGATATTAAAGTGTTACAGATTGGCCCAACCAACGTCAGTGACTCACCACCGGCTATACCAACTACACAACCTACCACCGGCTATGTCTGCAAACTACAAAAAGCTATTTATGGACTTCGTCAAGCACCAAGAGCTTGGTATACTGAAATTGGCTCGTTTTTGACATAACGGGCTTCATCAACTCCAAGTTCGATACCTCATTATTCCTATGACAATGAAATAGAAATACAATATATTTTCTAGTGTATGTGGATGATATTATTATCACGGGCAATGATCCTCTAGAGATTCAGGCATTTCTAAAGCAACCGGCTTATTAATTCTCCATCAAAGATCTATGAACCTTGAGTTATTTTATGGGAGTAGAAGCAGCATTCACATCCTCAGGTCTCCTCTTGTCACAAAGAAAGCATATTCAAGACTTATTTTCAAAGATAAATATGCAGGATGCAAAAGAGTTATACCTCTCATTTCTACTAGTGAATCACTTAAACTATGTGATGGAAGTCCTACTACGGACTTTACTCAACACCAATAAATACTTGGCTCCTTATATTACTTGACTCTTACTCGTCCATATATCTCATTTGTAGTTAATAAATTATCATAATTCATGTATCGACCATCTACTACGCATTGGTTTACGATCAAATGAATTTTGTGGTATCTTAAGGGGACCCTCAATCATGGTATGTTTCTCCGTAAACATGCCCCCCTTCATCTTCATGCCTTAGTTGATGGTGATTGGGTAGGGAACTTTGATGATAGAAAATCCACGTTGAGATATATTATTTTCCTTGGAACTAATACAATCAGTTGGAGTTCTAAAAAATAAAAGATAGTCGCACAATCTACAACTGAAGCTGAATACCATACCATCGCCACTACAGTTGCTGAACTCAATTAGGTTATAAATCTACTCAAGGAATTCAACGTCAACTCTACCTCTCCTCCTATAATATATTGTAATAATATTCGAGCTACTTACATATGTGACAATCAGGTGTTTCATTTATGCATGAAACATATTGTCATCTATTTCCACTTCGTGTGAGATCAAGTTGTTAGACATCAACTACGTGTTTTTCATGTACATACGACTAATCAACTAGTAGACTCACTCACAAAGCCTCTCACCCCACAAACTATTTTCGTTATATCGGTCCAAGATTGACATCGTTGATAGGAGCTCAATCTCGCGGGAGCATGATAGCAGATAAGATTTCTTCAACTACATGAGGAAATCTCGTTGGATAGTTGAGGAAAATCCTCCCTTCCCACACGTATAAATAAGATATTGTACTCAATCATATACTTTTTATCATCATAATTCAACTCGTAAAATCATCCAAATCATTTCGTTAGCAATAACAACTGTGTACGTAGGGATGGTGCAACCCAAATGGAGCTAGCATAGATGCTGAATCAGTATCATGTGTGCGCTACTTGTAAATCGAAGAAGAACGCACCCATAAAGAATGAAATATGCAGGAATGGGATGTGTGATCATTCTCATTATAAACTGGCGCAATGATTCCGACCATTTAGCGTAGGAACGGTCTATGCTGTCATGATCAAAGCTCTGCTTTGGCGTTGGCGCAAGTTTTGTTATGCCCAGCCAAGTTCAAACAGTGCAACATCATGTGACACCTCTCGTTAAAATCTCAACTTGTTTTCTAAGGGTCCACTCCATGTTGATGATCGAATGACTTTGTACTGACGACGTACTGCTTCTGATGGAAGCTGTGGAACAATATTGTGTGTCTTGGACCGCCACCAGAGCATGAAGGAGAACTCCTCCGTTGTGTAGGATACGACGCTACATAAGTCGGTATGATGACTGCAGCTATGGCAACATTGGATGTTGTCATCGAGCCTTTGCTTCTACGTGTTCTTTTAAAGCAGCAGTCTATGAAGCTCTATTCTATTCTTTTTTTGTTACCCAAATAAAGATGATAGCTTATATTAAATCAAAACAGAAACGATTATTGAATTATCAAATATTTTTGGATTTTTGAAGCTAAGTGTTTTAGGAGGATAATGAACTATATATACTACTATTGATGAAGGAAGGAAATATATTTTGATTAATTCATAAATATCATATATATATATATATATATATATATATATCTCAAAATTTTGGTGAAACAATAAAATATGAGTTTAATTGGTATTTATAATTGATCTCACATAGTGAATAATTTACTTTTTTTCTTGGATATAAATAAGGAATATTGAACCACGCTAATCTTATATCAATTTTTAAATATATTTTATAATTATTAATTCATGAGTTTATCTTCTTTCGAGTTCTCTCTTCTATAATATCTATAGAAATACACCTTTATCTTATGGAATCTCTCAATACAATTTGATTCAAAGTGCAAACTGATATTACCGTGAAGAAAAAACCTGCATCCAACAAAAAAACAAATCTACATTCGAATTCGAATCGAGTTTGCATCAATGGTCTCTCTTACATCACAGCAACATCTCCAGCCCCCTTGGCCTTTGGCATCAGAGAACAAGCTTCAGCAGCAAGAGAGAAGTGGGCCAAAGCAATCAATTCCCACGGTAGCTGAGACGAGGACGAAGGCAAGTTGAGCTCCATGTCGGCAGGAGGTAGAAGACGACCCTTGTCTCCCAAGGTTGAGATCCGAGTTAATGGGTTGGGCATGAATCCAAATCTTGACTTCCATTCACCCATCTGGCCCCACCTGATAGTTTGTTTGGGTAAATAAATATGTTGGGAGTATTCTTCGATCCTCCTTTTTAATTTTCCATATCGCATATGAATATATATATATATATATATATATATATATATATATATATATATAATGTATTATATTTTGTATGCATCTCGATAATCTCGTTGTATTAATCAATTTAACCTATTTTCTTTTTTTACATTGATTTAACATATCTTCTTTTTCACTTGAAGGCAAGAACTAGTTCTTTGCTCTAATGATAAATATAAAATTTATATTTTTTCATATTTAATTTTTTTAATTTAACTTTTGATATGATCACTCAGAATCCAATCAATATCTATTGAGTGTCAAACATATGTAAATTCTATATTCACATAATATAATTATTTTATATAATATATATATTTATATATCATCTTACTCTAGTAACTTTTAATAATACAAAATAATTTCTTAATTATTTGTAGATCTCTCATCTCATCTCATTCGTGAGTATTGTATTAAAAGTATGAGCAAGCTTCTAACCTCGGATCTCTGACTAAGGTAAGGGAATGTAAATATGGGGTCTCAATAACTGAACGAACTTGAGACTTCAAATAACATACGAAGTTGATTAATCGAAAACCACTACAAATGAATTCTGTTGGGGTCAATTAACGTTTCCGTAAGTCGATGTTGGGGTCAATTAACCTCTCAAATCCGCAAGACATCACAAGAAACACGTCTCAGAAGCCGTTGCAATGATTACGGTGACACAGTGGAAAGGTCGTGGGAATGTGACGGCCAACGTGGGCTTCCCGTTAGCCTCTCTCTCTCTCTCTCTCTCTCGGACGCCACAGAGGCATTGAATTAACTCCATCGGATCGTATCTTAATTTCTGATGTTTTGGGTTTGGGAATCCTTTTATAACACCATCACTCCACTCCATCTCTTGCTTCCTTCACAGCCCCACACCCCACCGGCCTCTCTTCTCTCCTCCCTCCCGCCTCTCTTCCTTCACTTCAACACATCCAAATTCCTACCTTGTAAGTCTCCTCCTCCTCTCCTTCCGCTGCTCGGTTTCCTTCTGACACGGAAAGCAGATATCTTTCTTCAGGCCCCATAAGAAAGCTGCCACCTTTCCAATTACCCCACCCTCGTCTTCTTCCCTCGTCATTCTCGGGTTCCTCTCCGCTTTTGGTGGGTTGTGCTTCCTCCCTCAGCTTCTTGAATTCATGTTTTATGATGATGAAAGGTTCTTCGAATGCGTTCTAGTTTGATAAGGGAGAAGGCTTTCTCGTACTCTCTGCAGCAATCTGTTGATTTCTACTCTTTTTTCCTTGAACGCCTCCATGATTGTTCTGCTCTGTTTCCCTTTCTCGAGATCCACAAGGATGGGAGACCACCTTGCGTTGCTGGTGGACCACCTGCTTACCGAATCAACGCTGGAAGCAGCCATTGGAAGCAGGAAGCAAGGCCAGATCGCCACCGACTCGGCATCCTCGGAGGACCCAGGCAAAGAATTCACTCGAAAGAGAAGCGTCAGAGACAGGGTCTCTCCGGGAAAATTGGTGGAGTGCCGAATCTGTCAAGAGGAAGATGAAGATTGCAACCTGGAGATCCCTTGTTCATGCTGTGGCAGCTTAAAGGTAAATTCTTGTCTTGTAACTGTTCCTTTGGCACAACGTAGTAGTAGTCTTTTGAAAGATTAAAGTATATTTATTTGATTGAATCTATAACAAATGTGCGCTCTCTCTCTCTCATTTTTCCTTTTGTAAAGCTATCTCACACTTTCGCCTCTTTTAGGTTAGGCCTTGTCTTGCAAATTGTACAAAGTTATTGAACTTTGTGCTGTAGAGGTGTTCAGTTCATTTTGTGTCATAGGCTATCCTCTCCTTGTTGTGCAGTATGCTCATAGGAAATGTGTTCAAAGATGGTGTAACGAGAAGGGTGACACAGTGTGTGAGATTTGCCTGAAGGTAATGACTTCCTTAATCCACCATGATGAATGATCGATCTACTACATATGTCAATATCGAAAGTGCCTACTGAAGCCACCATTTCAATGTAGCATTGGCATGACATTAGTATGTTTTCTTGTGGCATCGGTGTTGGGTTCAGGAATTCAAGCCAGATTACACTGCCCCTCCTCCTAAGCTGTTTCACTATGGGAGTATTCCTATGAACTTTAGGTGGGTGATCGATATCCAAGGCATAATTGGCGATTCAGGATCGAACTATAAACACTCACTCTTGTAATGTTTTCCAGAGGAAACTGGGAGATCACCAGAGAAGACCTCGATGACTCTCGGATCATAACATTGTTTCCGTCAGAACGCGATACGATGCGTTCCGGCTATGATGATTTATCAGCATTGAGCACAAGAAGCACCGTTTGCTGTCAAACGGTTGCCATAACAGTGAGTTTGCTGCAATTTGCATCACATTTTGCTCTCTCGTGCTTGGATAGATGGAATGATAATGATACTTGTTCTTCTTCTTGTGCATGTCCTCCAGTTCATGTTGCTTTTGCTCCTTCGCCATATGCTTCCTCTCGTGATAAGTGGAACCGAGCAGCACCCGTTCGCTCCCATCTCAGTAAACGCTCTGAACCTAAGAAATCAAAACAATGGTCTTCAGCATGCTTCACTGGTTAATATTAGCTTTTTTTTTAAAGCCTGTGTGTAATGATGTGTAAATCAGATACTGCTGTTGAGGACTGCTGGAATTTCACTGCCTGTCTTTCTGATGATCAGAACAATAAGGACATTTCGACATCAGCAGGTAAATTGTTTTTCCCTCTTGTGCTCATATTCTGGAAATCATTTTTAGTTCCTACTTGAGATGTTGCAGAGAAGATGAACAGCTCTCGGTAGCATCGCATTGTTAGAAAGGATAAGAGAAACAAATCCCACCGTCCTTGTGTCGATGCAAGAAAAGAGGTCAGACGAGAGAAGGTGAGGAGGAAAACTGGAGATGCTTCAAGCATGATCACATCATGACATTTGGCATGACTGTGCACTAGTAGTTTTGCTGCCGCTTTGTACAGTCACTAGTTTTTATTATTCTGTATTCTTCGGTTGACGCAATGAATTGATGTTGGATTAATGGGTCGAATCGTATGCTTAATTTAAAATTATTTTAAAATATACTAAAAAAATTATACATAGTAAAATTAATTAAAATTTGTGTATTAAAATAATAATAATAATAATAATAATAAGATCAACTAACAATTATAAATATAGATACCATCTATTTATATGTCGATGTTCTCTTAACAAATAAATAATAAAAAATTAAAATCAAAATTATTTAAGTACTTTTATTATATTATAAAAATCAACAATCCTGTCGATTTTTTTTTTTTATGCATCCAATCCAATAATCGAAACAAATCGTTCTCGTTTTCAATTTTTCTGACTATACTAAAATATCATAGTCGTAAAAATATTTAGTAAAGATAAGATCGAGAATCATTTACCAGTTTCTCGTGTTCTCGTGGCCATGAGAGCCACATGGATGACAATTCAACAACAGCAACGTGTCCTTAGTTTAAAACTACGGTATCTCTTTGACTTGATCCTTAGGATTCGATGATCGATCGAGACACATAGCTACTCTTCTCATCGCGTTGCTCTTGAATTTTTTTTAGTTTAAGCTTATTAATTGGACCCATCCAATCTGCAACCTCAACACCAATGCTGGACACCCATTTGTCTTTTCTTAGTCGGTATCAAAGCAAAGCTGGAGAGACATTATTTAATATGATGGCAGAGCTTTCTAAATATTGTCACCACTGACTTCATGTGGCGTTTAAATCACATATTAATATACTTTGATCTCATCTATCTATCTATCTATTGACTTGGTCAAATTTGAACCACTAATCTAAAATACTTAAACTGACATTAATAATTATATATTCATCATAATTATTAATATTATTTTTTTCTCATCATCCTAATATAAGACTAATCGAAGTGTTACGATGATATTTAAGATCTTTGTTAATTGCACATCTCTGTTTCTTCTCTAGTGTGAAAAATATTAAGTCATTTCATAATAGTTTATTTAATTAAAAAAATTTATATCATAAATTTTATTTCTCATTTATTTTTTTAATAATTATTAATTTTTTTAAAAAAATTATATAGTACTTTATTTTTGAGCTCGCACCACACCGTAGATTTTCGTCTACACATCACTATTTTTAGGATTACTAGTCACTAAATTAAATCTTAAGAATATCGAATGTTGCAGAAGATTAATAATAAAAATATAAACTTAGAAAATAAGAAATTACTTGATTCAAACACTTAGTAACCTATAAAATTTATGAAGAAATATCAAATTCTTCATAATAAACTATAAGCTCACTCGAATTAACATACATTCAAGTCCAAATTTAAATAGCTAAAATCTACTGTAAAGAAATCTAAAAATAAAAAATATATATATATATATATTTGTTTTTTTTACGGGAAATGATAGAAGAAACAATCGTCGACTAATGTCCTAAGATATCGTTTAGCAATTACTTTCCCGACATCCGTGTCTTAATAAATCGAGAGTTTTGACTTTGGGAGTCAGCTCCATCGCTTGGCGATCGGCCAAACACGAGGATCGAGTCGGAGGAATTCCGTCAAACGATGGATCGGTCCGTGCTTTGATAACCTCTTTGCCTAATTCGCTCCGCGTTCATGTTTGACGCCGTGACTGGTTGACCCAATTTTCTCTTCTGGCTGCTCAAGGAATCCAAATATATTGGGGTGCTGTTCTTATCTTCAATTGCGACATTAAACTGCTACACATTCCCACGCATTTCAATCGATCCCACCCGTTAAGTCCTATCCGAGTGTGACGACAATATTCAGAAAAAAAGTGATCTAAAAAAAAAGAACTCGGATTATAATATTGAATTTTGGCCTATAATATAATTATAATTCAAGTTAAACTGAGATGTGTGTCGACGCTAATCAATTAGACTAAGCTTATCGATTTATAATATAATATCAGAGCAAAGATTCATGCAAAAGAAATGACTTTTGTTCACCCAAAGATTGGCAAATGTACTTTGTCATACGGTACTGCTACAAAGAATGACTTTTGTTCCACTCGGACACAGTCGATGGTATCATGAAATGTATTATTGAGGAGGTTCCGTAGCCAACCAACCTTGAAGACGCTTTTCATCAAGCAATAAGAGAGAGAGAGAGAGAGAGAGAGAGAGAGAGAGAGAAAGAGAGAGTTGCTGCTACTTCATAATACCTCTCTCGCCCTTAGCAACAAGATGGGGTACGAGATGCTCCTAATTAAGAGCCCGCACCGGATGGAGTCACGAAAGCTTGGATTGGCTCTCCTCGTAGGATTCTGCATCGGCGTCGTCACCAGTTTCATCTCCATCACGCTGTCTACAGGTAATCTCAGTTTCCTCGAAGCTATGATGAAATCAAAGAAACAGTAGATTGATGTGTTGCAACAACATGAAAGATCGTTTGCCGCTTTGCAGCTGAACAACAGTTTTCCTTGGCCTACGGTGCTCGCGCCAATCCTTCGCCGGAGATCAACCTTCATCCACACATATCAGGTGAGAAAGAACGTCTACAAGGTCTTGCGACGTGATTCAGTTTGATCACTGGGTTGAGGGAGTCCGCGAAGACTTGATTGCTTGGTCTCAACACTAATCTTTGGGAAGATGCAGGCCGATCCGCCACTGGTGTCATCAGAATGAAGCAGACTTCATCGTCGACCAACTACGCCGCTCATTCGACAGGACAAACTAAAGATGATGCTGTGGAATTAGGTGAGAGAACTCAATTTGATCTACTCTACCATAGTGAATTGCCAAGTTGAGACGTCTCTCTTTTGACTATAGGATTGCCAATGATGACATGTAGTAATGGATAACGTCTGCTCTCTCTTCATGTCCAAACGTTACAGCAAGCGGAAAGGAGACAGAGGAGGCCAATCACGGAGAGAATGAGGCCGAGAGAGTGCAGCACACAACCCAGAAGCAAGAAGCAATCGAATCTAAGCCACCAGGTATAGGTGATCGTTTCAACGAGCATATCGGTTTCGAGCGCGGTGAAGCTACCAAGGCAGCTTGCGATCTTTCCAATCCAAGAACCGACGTCTGCGAGCTTCACGGCGATGTTCGAATTCACGGGAAGTCTTCCTCTGTGGTTCTTGTCAGTGCCGATCGCGAACCACGCAATCCAGAAAGAAGACAGTCGTGGCAGATCAAGCCTTATGCTCGCAAGTTCGACAAGGCAGCGATGGCGCACATCCAGCAAATGTCGGTGAGATCGTCGAATGGCCTCGGAGACGACGTCCCTCGCTGCACCACCAACCACAGCGTCCCCGCCGTCGTGTTCGCGATCGGAGGGTACAGCGGCAACTACTACCACGACTTCACCGACGTCCTTGTTCCGCTGTTCATAACCTCGCGACGGTTTGATGGCGAAGTCCAACTCGTGATAGGGACGACGAAGCTGTGGTGGATCTCCAAATACGAGCCGATCCTGAGGAAGCTGTCGCGGTACGAGATCGTCTACTCTGGCAGCGACGATCGAGTCCACTGTTACCCGCATGCGATCGTTGGCCTCCACAGCCACAAGGCCATGTCCATCGACCCCGCCAGGGCTCCAAACGGATACTCCATGGTCGACTTCACCAGGTTCATGAGGAGCACCTACTCGCTGGGGAGGGATTCCCCGATCAGACTGGGCGACGGCGGAGGCAGGAAGCCGCGGCTGCTGCTGATCCCGAGACAGGGGACTCGGAGATTCACCAACTTCCGGGAGATCGTGGGGGTGGTGGAGGAGTCGGGCTTCGAGGTGGTGGTGGCGGAAGCGAAGATGGGGAGCAAGGTGGCGGAGGTGGCGAGGGTGGTGAACTCGTGCGACGTGATGATGGGGGTGCACGGCGCCGGCCTCACCAACTTCGTGTTCCTGCCGACCGGCGCGGTGATCATTCAGGTAGTCCCCTTCGGCAATCTGGAGAACATCTCCCGGTCTTGCTTTGGGTACTCATCGGAGGACGCCAAGCTGCACTACCTGGAGTACAGCATAAGGGAGGAGGAGAGCAGTCTGATCGAGCAGTACCCGAGAGACCACCCTGTGTTCAAGGACCCCAAGTCGATTCACAGGAAGGGATGGAACAAGATGGGGGAGGTGTACTTGGACAAGCAGAACGTGAAGCTGGACGTGAACAGGTTCAGACCTCTTCTGCTGAAAGCCCGACAGCTTCTCCATCGATGAATAGGATAGAGAAGACGAAGAAGATTATGATGATTTGTGATTTGCTTTCTCTTCTGATCGGGTGACAAACAAGGAGATGGATTTCACACTGTATAATAGCTGAGCTCTGTTCCTCAATCAGGAACATGATTTCTCTCTTTCAATGCAAACAAAATGATACCGATATCTTAAATTGCAAAGGCGTAATGCAAAAAAGTAAGAAAGTTCAATCAGATCTCACCCATACAAGCAACGATTGAAGGGTCATATACTAGCATGATGAATAGTTCAGACATCTGATCCGAAATCGTTTTCATAAGTATTAACTTTTCCTACGACAGCATAAAGAAAATGGGCGGGAAGAACATAATTGCCGCAAATCATACGACGAAAACAAATTAAAGAAATATCCACGGATTGCCAGACTGGTTTCCAGTCGAAGCAACAATCATACAAATGCGAGACATATTCACAGAGGCATAGAAGACGATCCAAAATAATGGTCATAACTTCTTCATCATCACCGTTCGATGAATCTGAAAAGACCATGCGAGAAGGAAAATTACGATAGCTATGCCTACGGCTGTCCAAAATGTTATCAACCATGGAGGCATTGGATTGGGAAAGAGACCTAATTCAAGGAAATACTAGTTAGATCACTTGTAGAGCACTAGAAGAAAGAAAGCATTCAAGTCGCAAATACAACAACAACAACAAGAAGAAAGTGGTGAGTTCCAACTATTTGGATAAAAAAAAGGACAACAAAAGACTAACCATGGCCAAATTTAACACAGATTAGAAGTTCCACTATGCATATTGCCAGTGAAAGCCAACAGAATGCTCCGAGCTTCTTCACAGGCTTCCTGAAAACCATGGATGGATTATGTTAGACTTCCCTCTAGCTACATCATGCTTCTTAACAAAATGAAGGCAGCACCGTTGATTTTTTTAGTGGATGAACATAAGACAAAGTTGATATCTCATTATGTTTTAATGAACTAAGATCTTGAGTACATGATAACTATTAGATTGAGATGATTAGGAATCCTGCAAGTTCATTATAGAAATACTTTCTCCAGGCAGAACTAGAAGCAAAGCATACCTGTCTTGCAAGTAGGTATTGTACTCGCGAATAGTAGGAATAGCGATTAGCCACCAGAGGACCAATCTATAAACAATCAAGGGGTTTCTAGGTGGAATCCAAAGACAAAACTTGAGAAAAAAGGTGTTCAGCTCCACAGTCATAAAAACAACACAAAGGAACAGCACTTGAATGAACCTCCATGGTCCAAGCAGCGGATGCCATTCATCTTTGTCCCATCGTGCAGGTGTAAACTGGCCCAATGTTCTTTTGACCTAGGAAAGCACATAAACATGAAAATTTTAAATCAGAAATAACTAAAAAAATTACAACAGAGATGTACATGTTACAGAGATATTAATAAGGCAATTGGTTTCACAGAATGAAGCAACTAAGACAGATCCACCAAAAGAAGACATGAATAACCCTACCAATTCAATAAATATTTGTATCAATTTGTATATTACATCAAGCAGGTATAAACTGGCTAACTTTTCTTTTGCCTTGTGTAAACCACTTAGGAATAAAAGTCCATTGCAGAATTTGTTCTCCTAACTCAAGTAATAAGAAAATCTAAAGGACCATTTAGAGTATGTTTGGTGGAGCATGTTTTGAGCTGTTTGTAGTCTTCGTTCCACAAAGAGGCAAAAAGGGTCTTCCCCAACAAGTCCACAAAGTATCGAGAGATTAGCACCAAGCTTTGTAAAACTGTTCATTTATTTAATTTCTGAAAAGAGATTCTTATCTAATCAAATGTCATGACAGATAATAAAACCCAAGAGATTCATAATTCTCATATTGGCAAGTTCTAAATCATGTTACCAAAAACCGACACAGAAAAAGAAATTTCAAGCCCAAACTAGCTATATATCAGAAAGGAAAATTCAAATGTTTGTAGAAGCTGTAATGCAGTCGTAACAGAACATACCTTACCAATTATATTTGGCTGCCGACTTATGCCAACCCACTCATAGGTTTTTCCATCAAAGTACCTTACAGTACGCATTCCTGCCCAGATACCTGAATCATAGACCAATTGGCATCATAAACCCAGGCAAGTCTTCTTTTGTTTGGTTGAATGTAATTTTTTACAGGAAAATATTAATTCACGGGACAAAACAGCAAAGAGAAACAGAAGAGATAGAATCTTGCTTAGGAATGTTACTAGAAACTAATCAAATCTTTCAAAGATGGAAAACTAAGTCACATTCAACTCTATCTCTCTCAATTTCATTCTAGATATTTCCAAGTTAATTCACAAATATTGTGAAGATGGAAAACCAAGTTAGACTTTTTATAGTTGCAGTATGGGATCAGGATGTAAGTGTTACTATAGGTACTCCACCAAGCATTATGACAAAAGAATTAAACACACAAGACAAACAATTTTATTTTCTGTTTTTCTGGGTTAATTCAAATCAAGAACTCTAGAGAAGGTATTTTAGAACTTTAAAAGCATCATTTGTATTCAGTAAATGAAACATAGTGATTAGGATCTCACCAAACCAATTGCAGATAATGATGTCCAAAATAATACTGTCCCACCAGCACTCATTAAAATTTGGCAACATATGGCGAAAGGTAAGCTGCGACCATTAGGTGACATCTTTTTAAGAAAATGCTGAGAACTAGAAAAATATCACATACTATATTGGTAAAGCTGCAGAATTTGAAAACATACCTCCATTGTTTCAAAGCCAATTGACAACACCCACAAAAGGGGCTGGTTACGTATCATTATAGCCTTTCCCCACCACCCAAAAATATGAGCAGGAACAAATTCATCAAATAATGTATCCTGGAATCATTTAAGACACTATTAGTGTCTGCAGTATCTAAAAGGTATATGTTTTTTCAGAAATATAGAAGGGAATGAAATTAGGCTGGTGAAAGGAGAAATCATACATAAACGTTGTTAAACCTGCTTTCAGGATTCTCAGGTACATAAATACGGCAATCAGTGCCATACGACCTTTCAGGTAGTTCTGAATAAACATAAACAAAGAACATGTGTTTCTAAATCTTCGAAATGAGTTGTTTTCATGACACAAACAGAAAGGCTTCCAAAGTCAAATACTTACCAACTCCTAGGTCCGAATGGAGAAATTTCATAAATTCCCGAGCATCATCACGATTCTGAGGAGCAGACAAAAGAAACAGGAGAAATGTTTATAAAATTTACAGGTAAAAAAATGGAAATTCTTAGCTTAAATACTTTTAGAATGAAGCCTAACTACTATTCAAGACAAAAATATATATCAATGTTATAGAAAGAAATATCTTATCAATTAAAAGAAACAGAATCTTCCATAATGTGATTATTCTAAGTTGCCAAAAGAAGAAAGTTTAATATATTCTGTAATACCATGGTATACATTCAAAACAAACAAGAAAACAAGAATTTTTTGGAATGTCAAGCTTAACTATGTTGCTCAAAATTTCATCCTACCTCAGAGACAACATTGAGTACCACGGCTTTACAATAGGAAAGTATTTCCAAAAGAATTAACAATAGGGAGAAGAATAAGAAATGAATCAGTGTCATCATTATGATTTATCAGATAGTTGATCAATTACAAACCTGAAAAAGCAAAAAAGTGAGGGCGACAAGATACACGACAGCCATTCCATGGACCATGCGCCAAATGGCAGGATGTGGCCTTATAAGTACCCTGACATACATCAACAAGGTAGAAATCAATATTGTCATGACATGCTGTACAGCTATTGCGACAGCTTTAGCAATCAATCTAGAGACAGATAACAACACCCTTTATAATAAAGTTATATAGTAATTGTTGAAGAAAAATGTATATGTTTTTCATTGAACAGACATGGTTTGTCACAAAAAGAGAAGAAGAAGATGAGGCACTTGATATCCTTGATTTGCCATGGACAAGTACCACAAAATCCTACAAAGCTATTGAACCATTTTTGCAAAGATTGACCTCATTAAGATGATACCAATTACTTTACAATTAAAGAAGAGGCAGTAAACTACCAGATAAAAGTCAACTGTATTTCTGATTAGTAAACAGAGAGATTGCTGCATAGCTTAGATTTCATTGATAACAAAAGTACAGGCAAGTTTCATTATTCTTTATCTAATACGTTCAAAAAAGATTATGCACTATAATTACTCCTCCAGTATATTATTGACATGAGTACTGAGAAAAATTATCGAATATATATTCTTTGATTCAGCAATTGAAGTCATAACTCACGTTGATGGTGCTTGCAGCAAGGAATAGGCTAGGTAGACTGCAATCACTGCCCAGACACCTCTTAAGAAACAAAAGAGATCACTGAAAAGTGAGTCCAATATTGTTAAAGCAAATCTAATGCAAAATAAGAGAAATCTGCTGCTGGAGCATCAAGGTCATAGTCGAAGGGAGGATCAGTAACAAACATTCCAAAAGAAGTTCTCAATAAGAAATAAGATTACCTCTTTACTGATGTAACGACATCATTAGATGCTGTACTTTCAGGATCAACTACACCACTTGCCCAACTGTAAAAACAACAGTATAGTATGCATTGCATCAGTCCATGATAATAACAATCAACAATTAACAAATATATGTCTTAGAATTGCCAGATCTGTTATGCGGTTTGTCTGAGAACTTTTTCAACAAGTGACTAGTAATTAAATCAGTAACACAATTTTAACTTTCGCTTGACAAGTAAGCAAGAAGTCTGCAGCTTGCTAATTGAGAATTTCTATTATTCTAAATCAGATTACACAATAGTCTTACTAAGGTACAGTCCTTTGATTATGTAAGGTTCTTAGGTCTGGATCCAAGAGTCTGTACAAGACTATAAGCAATAACATTATAGACTTCTAGTTAAATTCCACAGTGATCGTTCTTCTGAAAATGGCAGACCAGTCTTTCCTTTTCTTTATAATTTCCTCTCATCAAAGTAAATGACTAAACCCAAACTCTTTGCCAACTAAAACCATAAGCATGTGATGCACATAGCTTACATCCAAACAGACTGACAAATTATTAGTGTCAATCAATGATGAGTGCGGTTTAGTATACGGTACATCAGATATCCTCCTTGATCAACTTAATCAAACTTTAGAAGAGGGAGGGAAACAACTTATCAGAAAGTATCATATATTGGACAAATAGGAGATTATATATATGCTTGGTAAGACATAGATTATTATATATGCTCTGTAAGTTAATACAAAAGGACTTGTCAAATTGGCAAGAAGCTGGACTCACACTAACAGGCATGTACCAATGAGGAGTAAAGAGATTGTGTGAGGCTTGTATGCCCAAGCTGTCCATGGATCAAAATCACCAAAATCATTTAATGATTTTGCAACACCATCTTCTCGAGATACGAAGTCTCTTTTTGCTGTTTTCCGCAGACCATTGACGTCCATGAGCACCACCGAAGCAGCTCCCCGGATGTGCTTGATGGGAGTTGAAACAGGAAAATCATATACACAGAACTCTAGAAAGAACTGATATCATTTCTCAGAGACAAAACAAAAGGTCAATTTGCAGGTTGTTAAACAAATCCAGTATCATAAAGTTCCCTGGAAAAAAAAGAAAATGCCAGATGCATACTCGTTGAAATAATGAGATTCCTATGCCGATGAACTGTCATATAGAACCATCCGATGATAAGACCAGATGTCTTCCACGACTCAAAACGAAAAAATATGCATTATCTTCTTAAACTAAAGATGTTTAGCGTGCAGATGATTGCAGATCATAAAATGAAAACAGATAAGACTCTTAAAAACCTACCAACTAAGATGATCCAAAGTCCAAACCGCTATATCCCCACAAATCAACAATAATAACTGGAATGATCATACAAAGAGCAGCGTTAAATCTCAAGAAAGAAGAGGCTGCACTATGTGCAGAGCAGTGACGGATCAGTTCAAAATCTGCGCATATTAAAAGAGAGCGGAAGAAATAAGCTTTAGAAGTTAGCAAAACCTTCTACGACAGCAGAAGGATGAAGGAGACCACTCAAAAGTAAAGAGGAAACGAAACCCCAAAAAGAGTTCTTGGGTTCTTAAGGCTTAATCACGATCCAAGTCCCAAACTTGGGAGCACCTAAACGATCCGTGCTACAGGAAACGCCAAAATGGTACCTAGTAATGGTGCACCAGTGATCATTCTCCTTGACTAAATATCCTCTCAGAAACAAACACCGAGCTAAGGATCAATGACACAAGTGTTTTCATCGCAACGTAACATCATATAAACACGGAAAGGATTGCGAAGAAAGCATGCCTTTTTCGTTGTTTTTCCTCCCCAAAAATAGAAGCTTTCACAGATTTTCGAGACAATAGGTCAAAAACGAAAGAAAGAAACACCAAAAGGCAGAAGGCTTTCGCAAAAGATTCTTGGAAACGCAGAAGCAAGAACGCAGAATACCTCAAACAGAGAATAAAGGAAGGGAATGGCTGCCGCTCGCAGAGCAATCGTCCTCTTCTTTTTCTCTTCCTTTCTTTCCTGCCCTTTCTTCTCCGGCAACTCGAATGTAAAGTCAGCAAAGCGGCGACGGATCGAACGCGTCAAGAAACGGGGAGAGACGAAACAGGGGAAGGGCGGTTCCCTTATCCCCGTTCCTGGAAGAATTACTCACGTAGGAGGGGAGTGGCCGACAGGGCCGTCCCCCCGTCGTACGATCAGAAGACGAGGAGATCCGAGCCGCCGAAAGCAGTCCGAATCTATCAAAGGCGCAAATTCTTTGGTATCGGCTATTTGGGCATTGATCGATCGAGGGAGACGAAACAGGGTGTGGAGAGAGGAAGATAAAAGAGGGGGTGGGGGGAGGGAGGGAGAGTGTTGACGGTCGAAGGAGAGTTCAATATATGGGAAGTGGAGAGGGGTCATGTAGAGCACTAACCCCCTCGGAGTTGCGAATATTTACATAAGAGGGAATTCATCATATATTTCTTTTTCTTTTTTTAATAAATAAATAAAATTCATGTATTTTCTCGAATAATTTTATTCGCTATATTTCGAAAGCAATACGCACCAATATGTGTTTTGCTCAGACTCATCAAACCATTTCAAATACATATTAATAAAAAATTCAGAGCTTCGAATTATTATGTACAAGATTAAAAATATTAATTTGATGATAATATATCAGAATTACTTATCAGCAATTGAATATTTGAAATTTTATTTAATAAATTTATATTTAAAGTAATTGATTTAGTGTCCATATAAGTGGACCAAAGTTGAGTGTTTTAAAATTAAAATTAAAAAAAAAAAAAGTCTCATCTTTATCATTTCCTTTTGGGGGAACAAAAAAAATATTTTAGGAGACATGAGGCACTTTTTTGAGTTATAGGGATCAATTCTTTTCATTCATAAACTTTGCATAATGAGGCATTATTGTTGGTAGGAATGTGAAGCTACTATGGTTGTTAATTCCTCTGCTTAGCCTTAGTACATAAGAGAAATCAATGTTTGGCTTGGTCTACAATGTCCATATGAATCATTCAAATAAAGAAAAAGACAACTGAGCACACAATATAAATTGATGAGTTTTAAGTTAAAACCAGTCAGAAGTCAACATATATCAGATTTGATATCAATTCAATCTAAAAAATTATTATTAATTTCTAACATAATATTTAAAATTCACAAAAAAAAAGTTGATGCAATAAGAGTGAAAAAAATATTCAAATTAGAATCTGATCTACCTTTATGAGTAAGAGGAGGGAGATCGACTGAACCACACATAAGGATAAAATGTTCGTAAGTATTTATGTATACAAAAATAAAAAAAACATGACAAAGATAATAAAATTACAATAAAATTTGAGAAAGTGAAGTGACATACATTAGGTATTGTGTCTATAACTTAAAACTTTTAGAATTAGATTAATATTCGTGTCCAGACTTATTATATATATTAATCGTACATGGATTTAAGCGAATTCAATGTATGTTGACCTGATCAAATTTGACCTGTACTCACGGATTCTTGACGGAGGGCATTGTGGGAAGGAGACGACCAAAGAGAAGGTCGCATGAGCCCTGAAGGGGGACAAGGGAGATGAGGACAGAGGGAGAGGCAAAACAAGGGAAGCGGTGTAGGGCGTAGGGGGCCGTCCTATATATATATATATATATATATCTTTCCACGCTTACTGACAGCAGCACAGTGATCCCTCTCAGAGATTGCCACTGCCACGCATAATAGCCTCCTCATCTTCACAGTACAGTTCCCACCACCACCACCACCACCACCACCAGGAAAGGAGCCCATTCAAATGATAACACGTTCATCCCAGACCCCCCCTCCCACCCCCCCTACGTGCACAAAAAGGCTGGGGAGCGAAGTAAATGATCCCCTGCTCCCAACGTACGGTTCATCAGAACCTAATAATGAGTAGCCATCTCATTCAAGAGCATGATTGATAAGGACACTTCATTTCCCTTACATCCACAGTCCCTTTCCTCCCTCCCTCACCCCCTCTCTCTCATGGATACCCAACATGCCATCATCCCATGGAATGACTTGACATTATCTAGTTTAATGAAAACAGCAGTCACCCGAAAGAATATAAGCCAATCATAAGAACCAGCCTAAACCGTGCATTTGTGTCCATTAAAGTCTCAGATGTATTGTACCTTATCGTTTATTATTATTATTATCATCAGCCAGTCGTCTGACTTTGAGGGCTCCGTAAGCTTTCATTTTTCTGTGATCTAAAAGAGAAATCATAGGTACGTTGCTACAGACACTTCATATCTGGATACACTATTCTTCTTGCCCTTTGAATCTTTCAAATCCCTCCGCCAATCTCATCTACTGTCAAAGGACACGCTTCCATAAGCTCGCTCACAGTCATTTTCAACTGATAGATCATATCACTGCAACGCAGTGGTATAAGGAACACCGTGAAGATGTGGGCAAAACTGCAAGCAAAAACAGTGCTTGGTTTGTGCTGTGCTGTTACTAATCGATTACATTAGCTATATATCGCACGACCAAGAAGAGTGTGTTCTTCACGTTCAACTCCCACCGTCTCATCCTGGTATTATTTTTAGAGAAATAAAAAGAGCCCAAGGAATCAGTCTGAATTAGTCCTGCAAACAGTGCTTGGTTTATGACTTGCAGTTACTAATAGATTACGATAGCTATCCTCTGAGCAAGAAGAGGGTGTTCTTCTTGTGTGTGCTGTTGCGATAAGATAAAGAGAGAAGTTTCCTTCTCCTGTGTGAGTTTTTTTGGAGGAGAAAACAGGAGCTGGAAAGATTTGGAAGCAAGAGTGTCTCGGTTTGTCCCTCCTCTCTCTCCCCCCTCAAGTTTCAACTATTGTTCTTCTCATCATCATCTTCTGCAATCGATTTGATCTTTGAGATTCATCAACGAGTAACTTCAGCGTCGACGTACCATCCTTAAGCTGGATTTAAAGCTTCATCAATGCCTGGTCTTTACCAATGACAAGCACAGACCTGTCGCTATCTTAACAAGAGAACTTAAGATTTGTAAGCAAGTTTGAGGGTTTCCCAGAAACCCGGTAACAACCGTGTAATGCTCATAAAGGAAGTCAGGGAAAGAAGAAGAGGTGGGGGGGGGGGTGGGGTGGAGAAGGACGTCCGTGGTGCAGCAGCACCCATCACAGGGACAGTCTTCCCTCGTTATTAGCCAAAAAATGGCAAAACAAAGTGGGGACGCAGGCGGTGGTCCCCACTCCGGCGAACCATAAAAGGAAAAAAACGCAGAAGCTTTAAATGCAGCGTACGTAAAAAGTATTACATATTGTAATAAACAACATAAATTCCTTACAGATGCAACCTAAAACACACACACACACACTCTCTCTCTCTCTTTTCTTTGGTGGGAGGGGTGGGGAAAGAAAGGGAAGGAGACGACAAAAT